GTAGCCAGGAATCAGATCTATTCTTAGTGCACTGGAGCTATCCAAGATTAATGAAAGCAAATGGTGACTCTATCCCAGCCTTCATAAGTGCATTCTCTATCATCTGTGAGGACATAAAGTGCTTTTTATTGCTCTGCTGTGGGATTTGAGCTTTGTGGGCTTTAAAAGGTTCCTGACAGGGACCTGGCTCTATTTAGCAGTAGACTTTCCATTAGACTGAGCTATGGTGTTGGCATTTGTGAGTGTCCTTCCCCATGTATCTGACACATGAGATCACTTGTTAGTACTAACATCACTGATGTTAGTATAGTGTTTAATATAACATGCACTGTTTGCACTTAGTAAACAAACAAGCCACAGGAGAAATGAAATGTCCTGAATAAGAGTGCAAACAAGAGTGCCAAATCCACTTTTCCTCTTCTAGGAACAGGAACTGAGTTTGGCCAGCCGTATGGGGTCATAGCCCTACTCTGCTCTACCACATTGCTGGGCTTGCCTCCTCTGCATCTTTTTGGGATGCTAGCTACGTCATTTATAGAGAAGAGAACCTCTATTTTATTGCTTCTCTGAGGCAAGTGGAGGTGAAGACTTCATACCTGGAATCACCTCATGAAGAAGTACAAATATATTTGGAATTCTCACTTCAATCCAGCTCCTTTATATATTGTTTACTCTTGGAAGTTAAATTACCAGCATGTACATCATAAAAAGTAACACAAGTGATTTGGGTGTTTTTACACTCCTAAGACATGGGACCATGTTGTCACTTCTAGATGATATGATGCTAACTGTGGTTTATGAGGGTCTGGTAGCCTCACCTATCACCCATCTGTCGCTCTGGTATATTTTGACATCTTCAGTGCTTGTTAGTGAGAGAATAAAGATGCTAGATATGACACTCTGGCATGACCTCTACATTACAAATCCTTAGAAGTGTTCAAGGGAGATGATCCCATTTGGACCTTGCTGCTGCATTTTTTCAGTTCAGTGTGTTCTGTGGAGGCTCAGCAAGTTAACAGCTCAAAGTATGAGAGAGGAGACCAAACTAATTTCAGTTTAAGAAGTACACAGGGCATTTGTGCTTATGTGCAGCAAAAATAAGGGAAAACTTGCCACTGTCACCAGTGTTATTTTTTATTAATTTGTTATTAATATCTAATATGTAATTTGTTATTGTGCCATAGAGTCTATTTATTGATTTATTTGGACTGGAAGAATATGACTGATTCTAAGAGAATGTCTTTGTCCTTACCATGGAAAAAATGAATACTCAGTTTTGGACTCCTCAGATGGATGTTGAAAAACGGCAGCAAATCCAGTGAAGGGCCACCAAGGTAGTCAGGGACTGGAACACACAGCATGTGGGGAGATGGTGAAAGACCTGCATTGGCTTGTTTTCATGAAGAGGAAGCTCGGGTAGGGATGTTATTGTTGTTTTTCTAATACCTAAGAGGTGGCTGTGCAGAAGACTTCTTGGGAATGCAAAACAAAGCAAACATAAATAAACAAACCCAACAAAAATAATCACAAAAGCAGTCAATACAAGCTGCAGGAACGGAAACCTGATTAGATACAGGAGAAAAAAAATTAAGCTGAAGAATGCCATAGCCCAGGGAGGTTGGGGATTATTTACCTGTGGGTATTTTCAAAACTTGCCTAGACAAAATCCCGAGTAACCTGATGTAACTTCAAAGCTGGCCCTGTTCTGAGCAGCAGGCTGTACTGGATAAGCTCCAGATACTGCTTCCAATGTAGTTACTGTATGGTTTATGTGCTACAGTCCAAACAGGTGACTTTTCCGTATTATTTGAATATTCAATGAGTTCAGTATTTTCAATATTGAAGTCTCTAAAAATTCTGTATAAATCGGGCTTTTAAAATCTTGGTTCTTTACTTCCTGTGCTGAGGGATCTTATCCACATGTATAATTGGAGCATGCAGAGTCTCTTCTGCTTTCTGCTCATTTTGTCTGGCACAGGTGGAGCTGGAGCAGCCTGGTGATTGGAGAGTCAAGCATGACACTACTGGTGGTTAGGTGAATATGGAGGATGTAGGTTTGTGCCCTAAGAAGTTGGGTATCTAGGCTTACCTGAATGTGGCAAACTAGTAGTGCCAAGGCCTGGGTACAGATACTGTAAGATCTTCTGTTCTGTTAAATTACACTGCACTTGTTGCCATAATTAGTTGTCTTGGCCCGACTGACACTAACAGTCAGCCCAGAAACTGGTTTAAAGTTGTATATGGGACAGGGTTGATTCCTATTGTGTTTCACCACTATTTTGGAAGGTAAGAGTATTTAATAGTATTAATGTTGGTTGTTCCAACACAGTTGGCCTCAGGGCCTGGGAATGGGCCGGGGAAGTTTTCATTTACCAGCAAACATGCTAACCAAACAGCATAGGCTGGTCCTTAGCACAGTTAACACAAATAGGAACAGCAGCGTTAGGACCCACTCTGCCAGATGAAGCTGCATGACTCTTTGCTTGGCCATTATAACTTGGGCTGCATTGCATTGGTTGATGGGACTGCAAAGAGGCCAAAGCAGGGTCTCACAGCTGTCTGTTGGCAGTATGGCATTTTGGTTTTGGTGGGTAGCATAGGCAAGACTGTCTTCTCCTGGGGAGAAGCTTATATCTGAAAAAGATAGCAACAGGATTATGCTCACGTACTATGCTAAATACAGTGAGAAAGAGCCTGCTGCCTGGTGCTGTGACTGGCTGACATGGTGTCTGTGTGGTGAAATCCTCTACCACGTGCCCCTGCTCTTCTCCTCAATATCCAGGGAAGCCTTCTGCAAACTGACAGTTGGAAACAGCCCTTGTGATTTCTCACAATGGACCTCTGCAGTGTCTGGCATAATGCCACTTGGCAAAATCATGCTCACAGGATAACTCTTAAACTTGGTGCGTAAGCATTCAGGCCTTGTTTGGTTTTGTAGTGCCAATGAAGCTGTTAAGGTCAGTATGGATAGAGATTGTAGATTTCTGCATGGGAGAAAGGAGTTTGTCAATACCAAGACATGACTGATGGTGTCCAGAGAAGCTGGTGATATCGTCACGTTCACATACAGCATATTCAGTGTGCTGACTCTACAGAACTGGGTCCTGCAGAGTCAATCCAGCCTGCTGAGCTGGAGAGCAGAGCCTGTGGCTTGTAACCATTGAAACTACTTGTTCCTACAGGAGGAGAACCCAAAGGCTGATGATCCCAGGACCAGCCGTGGAAGATGTGTGGGTAACTCCTCATCCTCCCATGGAGTGTTGGGGAGTGAGGCCACTGCACTGCCCTGGAATGCTGTCTGTTTTGTGTGAGAACCAAAACAAATAAAAAGAATAGATACCCTCCATGAAATCTTGTCTAGTGAGTAGACTTGATGACTTTCTCTTACTGGACCTTTGACAAAAACACAAATGCAGATGTTTCTGTTGGAACCTCTGGCATTTGTTGAACAGCAGGTTGCAAGGGGTGCCCTCTGTGAGCAGAGCCCCGCACTGCCCCATCCATGTCAGATCACAGCCAGCTCCAGCTCTCCTAAGCGACTGCCAGTGGCCAGAGCTGAGCCCTGAGCAATGCTGGGTGCGCTCTGGGAGAGCAGACTGAGGAGAGGGAAAAACTGCTGTGCAACAGCAGCTGGGAGAGAGGATGAGAAATGGGAGAGAAGCAGCCCTGCAACCCCCAAGGGCAGCGCAGAAAGAGGGCAGGAGGTGCTTCAGGTGCAGCTGAAGTTCCCTGCAGCCCAGGAGCAACCCCTGCTCTCTCGCTCCATGTTCTGAACCAGCCAGCCCTAGTAAGTCGTGTGGACTAACTCAGCCCAGTGTGCCATTCCTCTGCACCACTCAGGAGGAGTTGAAGGAGTGTGGGTGGGGATGAAGGTGTTAGTAGTTTGCTTTCAGTTCTTATTGCTCTCATTTGTTAGCAGCAGCTCACAAATTACATTAATCTCCCTAATGTTTCATCTGTTTTTCTGTAACAGTAACTGGTTTGAAATCTCACTGTCCTTATCTCAACCCGTGATCCTTTTTCTGTCATATTTTCTCCACTTGATCTGTTGAAGGAGAGAAAGAGAGCAACATAGTGGTGTTTAGTTGCCTATTGGTGTTAAACCACCATACTTTTTGTATCATTCAATACCTTTTAGGGTCCACTTTCCCTTTCCCTGCTTCCTAATGAGTGACCAAATGGATTTGTATTCTTTTCTCGGTAGATTTTCTATTGCTATAATTTCTTAATGTTAAACAAAAACTATCTTGTTGATTCCCACTGTCATTGGCTGTGGTTGGACAGTGAAAGCAAACTGTCAGTCTGGCATTGAAAATTTGAAGAGCTTGCCCTCTCTGTTTTACATGAGAAAACAGTTGCAAACAATCTGGTGAGTACTTTTGGACTTCTGCGTATTCTCAAGTCTGACAAATATTTATACTTGCGTGGAACAAACACAGTTAATAGAATATTTCTACCTAGATGGTGGACAGTAAAACTGTAAAAAACTATAGGCTTAGAAATACAGCATCTGCAAAGAACAGACAGGGACAATGACCACTTCTGTCTGCAGAAGCAGTGTGGAATCTGCAGAGTTGAGACAGCTCTTTTGTGCATAGCAAAGGCTAAAGAACCTCACAAACCTCCCACACTCACTCTCTCTCTTCCTCTCAAAATGAAACAAGCAACATCTGGATAAAAATCTACACACTCAAATCAATTTTACTCTTCCCTGAACAAGTTCACAAAGCCCATCTTGCTCATACCCATGAAGTGGAAAGTTGCTAATAATTTTGCATGTTGCTGCGATCAGTTGCATTATCAGACAGCTAAATAAATGATAAACCAATAAATGATACACGTCATAAATTCCACATGCATATTTTAACTGTTATCTATGTATTTTCTTTTCCTGTGGCAGTTATTTAATTTACAAGGAAGCATGTAGTGTTTCTGGATAAATGCACTGGAAAGAGACTCCTGAGATCTTTCTTCCATGCTCTGTCCTTTTTCCTTTACAGACTGCAAGTCAGCTACTGCTCTCCAACTCATGATCAAGCGCTGCCATGGGAAAAGAAGTTGTAGCATATATGCCAGCACCTATGAATTTGGAGATCCTTGTTATCCCGGCATCCAAAAGCATCTGAATGTCATCTATACCTGTGGTGAGTCACAAAATCAGTTCTCGCTGGGGTACGTGTTTGATGAGCAGCAGTACGTGAAAAATGAGAAGAGTTACGCATGTACGTAAAATGTTGTTGAGCTTCCACTTGGCTCATTGTTATTTTCATTTGGTTAAATGGAAAGCCTGTGGATTACCTGAGAGGTTTAATTCCGTCTCTTTTTCTACTTATTGGGTTGACAGAAAAAAAGCAGGAAGCATGGAAAGGACATTTTGTTAACCCTTTCAACACTGCCTCCTCAAGGCAGCAAATTCTGTTAGCCCATTTGATGGCTGGACTAAATGACCTTAGTGGTCTTTTCCAGCATTAATGATTCTATGATCCATCAGGTGCTTATACCCTGAATGATACCCTGCTGTTTCGTTTTCCTGCAGAAAAGTTGTGGTTAACAGTAGGATCCTTTTTATTTTGTTCTGTATTTCGTTTTTTACCAAACAATAAGGCAATCACTAATCCATGCTCACGGCATTCGTTGAAAAAACTTCAGGTGAATATGGCAATATTTTCCTAAGAAAATACTGTTGTTTGAAAATAATATGTCTTCATTTGGGATCATAAGTCACGGTGCTGAGTAGACACTGTACTCCTATCTGACTAATCCTCCTGTGCTGCAGAAGAGAACGATGCAGTATGAAAACAACTTCAGGTCTGACTTTCCCAGTTAAGAAATTTTGATCATTTGTAGCTGATAGATATGAAAATATTTGCTTGAGGGTTTTGTTTGTATAGTTGTTGCTAGGATCAGCTTTGCCTCTCCCTCTGTTTCTTTCTACATTCACTGAAAAGAGAAATCCTGGTGCTGTTTTGGATCTGCTGAGTAGATGAGCCATCTGATCTAGCAGAGGAGGTGCTGGCTGTGTCTCCAAACAGCAAATCCGTGGATGAATCCTTATGTGCAACAGCAGCATGCTAAATCTGATATATGATTTTTGATATGGAATGCTATAGAATTTGAATAGATGCTGTGGTGTGGCTGATGTGTTGCCTGTTCAAAAACAGTGCAAGAGAATCAAGAGCATGAAGCTCTGAATGCCTGCCTGGCTGTTGTTTCATTTGGCAGAAGCAGCAGGAATGTTAAACTTTTTTTTCCCTTGTCACTTCTTTGTTTTTGTTTGAAATGATTTAGCAAGAAACAGAAATATTGTCTATTCAAAGCCTTGCAAATTTTCTTGCCAGGGAGTTGACACTGCTATATTATTTTTTTCATAAACAGATTGGAGAGAATCTCATTCTCATGGGGATGTGAGCTCCATAATTCAAAATCAGGAACAAACCAAATAGGGCCCCATGATGTATTTCCAAGAAGATATCTCCTTCAAAGCCCTATGCAGCCTTCACGCATTGTGGTTCTGATCCCAAAGCCTACTATAGAAGGCATTGTTGATCTCTTCGCATGACTTCAGCTTTCCTAGTTAAAGCCTAACTGCATCAGGAAATGAGTCATGCTTGAGAGCACAATATGCCCTGGTTTGATTTCCAATAGGTGAAATCTGCCTCATTATTTGAGGGTGTCCATGGTTCCCTCTCAAAACCATGATCTGAGCTGTCATGATTCAGCATGTCTGAGCTGATCATCAGACACATAATTCTCCTCTCAAAAAGCAAAATCCTTCAAAATATAAAGCCCAACTAAACAAGAAATCAAATTCTAGTTCCACATGGCCATGCTGGATCAAGGATCATTCTGGTATTCTCTTAAAAGAAATTATAAAACCAAGCAACTAGATGTTTTATAGCTTAAAGAATAAATGTGGTGTATTCCTGTTGGATATCTCCTTGTTTTGGGTTTTCATAAAGATGCATGCATGCGTTATTACTCCTGCTGTGATGTTCTCTCACTTTCACAAAACCCATGGGAGTGAAAAGGGACTGGCTTTGACTAAGTCATGGCCTGAGCCAGTGATGGAGCAACTTTTGGGAGGGCAGGGCCAACCCAGGGAGCTCAGCTGCATGCAATGTACTGTGGACCAGAAGGGCTGGAGCCAGGATCCACCCCTTCTGAGCCCTCATTTAAGGGTTGGCATTGAGGTGAGGGGGTCTTCTTGGAGGTCCCTGCATGCCTGAGGCCTTCCAAAGGTAAGCGGTTCTTTTCCTTCATTCCTGTGTACACAGCCGCAGCATTTGGGCTCGTTCTCATTTACTGTAGACAAAGATTTTGCCACCCTGTTATTATCACGTTGCTTTCCATCCCATTATAGCATGGCAACTGCTAAAAGTGACTCAGATGGATTTCTTTTGATTTAGGCCAATCTCTTCTGTCACCTTTGTCTGGATACGTATCTTATTTTCCCACCTCTCACAGTTAAAGATGCTGGATTCATGCAGAGTGGGTTTGTGGCTTTGATGGTTTTTGCTGGAGAGAAGTGAAAGACACAGAGTAGTCCCAGTGTCACCTGGAAGCAAGGCAGATGTACATCACAGGTTTCTCTGGGCATCGCTTCAGCCGTGGTCTGACTGACCATGTCACTTGTCTTACCTGCGACAAAAAAACTGATGGGTCCGTGCCAACAGTTACTGACCATCAGTGCCTCTTCAGAAGAGGTGGTAAGAGCAAGCCCACTGATGGATGTGCTGTGTGCATGGGAGGACCTTCAAACAGCCATTTTCCTTGTGAGAAACTTTACTAGCTGTAGGTTCAGGGCAGCTGAACTCAGCTCTTGGTGCTAAAGCATGAACAGGGCTGGACAGAGAATAATGTCTCTCGCTGACAGCAATTCCTGAAAAAAGAAAAAAATCAAATGAGGGATTACTTTGTGAGGTGGTAAAGGATTATATAAATTCAAAACTTGTATTGTGAGCAGAAATCGTGGTCCTTTTGCTGAGGTGGGCTTTACGACTGCTGTTAGTGCTGGTGCAGTTTGCATAGAGAAGCTGTGAACAGCAAGTGATGTGACATCTCCAAGTCCTGATAGGAGTACATCTGAAAAAGTCTCTTGGAATCTTCTTCTGTGACTTTTCAGGAGGAGCTGAGCCCTATTCCTAATCTCCTGCCTTCTTCAAGAGATAAATAGGTAAGGCAACAGCTCTGGTTTCTTATTAGCTAGTTCCAGATTTCTTGGAGATTCATTCCTACAGCCTCTGTGTTTTATTGGTTGTAAGAATACCTTCCAGACATAAAGAATTAAATTGATGAATCTGGCTTAAAGGAAAAGTGTTGTTGCATGAGCTTTAACAAGACCAAGTGCAGCGTCTTGCATTTCTGTTCCAAAAACTCCGTGCATCGCTACAGGCCTGGGGCAGAGCAGCTAGAAAGCAGCATGGCAGGAAAGTATCTGGGGGTGCTGGCTGACAGCTGGCTGAATGTGAACCAGCAGTGTGTGCAGGTGGCCAAGAGTACCAAGAGCATCCTGGCCTCTGTCACAAACAGTGCGGTGAGCAGGACTAGTGAGCTGATCTGTATTGACGTTGGTGAGGCTGCACATTGAGTACTGTGTTCAGTTGTGGGCCTCTGACTACAGAGATGACGTTGGGGCCCTGGAGCATGTCCAGAGAAGGACGGTTAAGCTGTGAAGGATCTGGAGCACCGCCCTCATGGGGAGTGGCTGAGGAAACTGGCATTGTTCAGTCTGGAGAAGTGGAGCTCAGGGGAGACCTTAAGATGCTGCACAGCTTCCTGAAATGAGGCTGTGACGAGGGGAGGATTGGCCTCTGCTCCCCAGTAATGGGTCAGACTAGATGATGTTGATGGTCTTTCCAATCTTGACAATTCTATGATTCTGCTGGTGTCATTATTGCAGTGAGTTTTGTACTTACTGATAAAAGTTATTGGATTTCTCACCTTTTCCTTTTTCTTATTTGTCTATTTATTATCTTTAAAGATTCTCTTTAACTCTCTAAACATCTTTCCTGCCTGGTGTTCTAGACTTTTTCTGCCTGTACTGAACTTCTAACCCAGCAGTGAGTTTAAAGAAAAGTTGCATTTTTGTCTCACGAGTGATATCACTTCATTCAAGGGAATATTTAAAGGTATGCATTATTTTTAAGTCCCACGTGTAAATACCATGAAAGTTTAACGTGTTCTCAAGTCCTTGAACAGGGCTTGTCTGTATGTAGCAAGAACAGCGCAATAAGAAGCGAGCAATCCAAGTGACTGCTGTCCTGCCTGCCAGACCTGACCCTTGCAGTCAATGTAAGCCTCTGGTCTTCAAAGGCATGATCAGAAATGGCCTGATGGGGGAAAGAAAAGGAGGGGGAGAAAAAAAAAGGAGATTGTGAATTTCTTTGTTTGTAGGCATGTTTCAGTGGTTTGGTTATCAGGTCTGCATAACTGGTAGTGGTAATGTTCTGTTAGACATGGCTATAACAAAATGGAGGAAGTCACAGGTAACTCAGTAAGGGAGCTTGATAAGTAAAGGATAAAGCATCACTGCAATCATCAGCCAGTGCTGTTTTATGGTAGCTTTGTGCTACTGAGAGACTAAAGAGGCCGATGAGAGGTGATGGAGATTATCTGGGGTGATCTCTGAGTACTTGGAAAAGCAGTTTGGCTAACTCCAAAATGTTGCGGTTAAATAAATATCCTATTTATGTTAGTCTAGAGGCAGGCTTTGTGTTAGATGAGAGCACTGACATTTTAGATGAGAGCCTTTTTAATCACAATGAGGAGAGAGGCTGAAGATCTGCACGAAGGCTCTCCTGTCATCTCAAAAGGGCCGTGCTGTTGTCCATTACCTCCTGCATAGTGAACTTGTCAGTGTTTCAGACTGCACGTACTTTTATTACTGCTAAAGTGCTTTCTCTTGGTATAAAAAACAATGTCCAGGATCCCCAACAAATGGGGAAAAAGCAGCTCCAGACTTCAAATTAAGAAGAAAACTTATTAGACACCTTTTGAAACAGAGCAATACAGGCAGCCTCTTGCTAGAGGAAGACACAATATATAGAAGGACTTCTTTTTGTCAGAAGTTACAAAATTGATTTTTGCCAGCAAACAAACATTTCAAGCAGCTTAGCTCCAAGGATATTAAACTGGATATACAGTG